TTTTCACATGTGAGAAATTTTTAGTTGTGACGGGAACACGGATAGTACACCATGTGTTTTTATGCAAGTGGTGGAGAATTTTAATTTTTAAGTTATTAACCTTTTAACACACATAATCCATTATTTATATAGGAACACGTGGTGTACCACCTCGTGTGACGGTCACATTGAAAAATCTCTCTTCACATGGAAAGCTGAGATGGAAGTTTACATGCACACATACGTCACACGCCAAGAGGGCTAATTCTCATCCAATCTGGCAAATACACCTTCCCCAGATGGAAGTTTATAGGCACACAACTGTTTCCATGCTGCTAAAACATTTTCACTTGGAATCAATTCCTCCAAATACACATCCATTGCAAAATTCTTCTTACCTTCTCTCTCGATTCCCTTTCGCCTTTTGGCAATAATTGAAATGCCATTCGAAGATTACTTGATGTCCACATTTGTTTAAATAACTTTAACTATATATGTTAGTGTTAATCTTTATGCATGTGAATTGGATTTTCAATAGTAAAATCCAATTCATTTTAATTGTTTCATATTGGTCGGGACTGAAATGAATATTTAAAAACAAAATAAACTAGAAAAAAAATTGAATTAGGCAACTATTAATTCTTCAGAGTAGAATGACGAGTGCACCTTGAGTCCTAAAAAATATTCAAAGACTCGTGTGAAACTTGTTCATATTGTTGAGATGAATCGCACATTGATGAGAGAAGGGATCTTGCATGAATTATAAATAAGTTGGGTTACTTCTCATACTGCCAATTATTTTATGGTGGAATCTCAACTTCCTTCATGGTATCAAAACAGGTTGTCCCATTTGTGAAGTCCAATAGTTACACGAGCTCCATGTCACACCAGTTGTGTTCTTCATGTATTTGGCTTGAAAATTCGCACACGTGAGGGAGTGAAGACAATTGAGGTTTTACCAGAAAACCAATTGGCAATATGGGGGAGTAGCCCAACCTCTTATAAGCGCTTCCATAGCTTAGTCCCTCACCAATGTGGGACTTTGTCCTCACATTCTCCCACTCCTCCTCACATGTGGCGAATTTTCAAGCCTAACATGTGGACAACATAACGGGGTGACATGGAGTATGTGTAGCTGTTGGGCTTCACACATGGGTCAACTTGCTCTATACCATGAAGAAAGTGGAGGTTCCACCATTGGTATCAGAACAGGTTGCCAGCGTGTGAAGTTCAATTGCTACATGTGCTCCACATCACCTTGTTTGTGTTGTTCATGTGTTAGGCTTGAAAATGCACCACGCTTGAGGGAGGGTGTTGAGAATGAATCTCACATTAATGGAATGAGTGAGCTGGCATGGGGCTTATAAGTAAATTGGGTTGTTTCATATATCGCCGATTGGTTATTCAGTGAAACCCAAATTTTCTATCGGGAGCGTGTTGAGATGATACACTGATGAGAAGAGACCTTGCATGAGCTTATATCAATTAGTTTTATAGTGAAACCTAAACTTTCTTCACACATTATAAGAAATATAAATATATAATGTAGAGTCAAATTCTTCAAATTTCTGCATGCATTATATATAGGGGTGCGATATCCACACATCTCATTTTACTTCTCACACACTTTTTTAATTTTCGACCGTTGGATCGGATGAATTAAAGAAGATCAACGGACAAAATTTATCAAAGAGTGTATGAGAAGTGAAATGGGATGTGTGGATATATATACACACACGCATGTGAAATTAAGTTAAATTATTGATTTGCTTGGGAATATCTAAACTCAATTATGAGGTGACTTTGGATCCTCTAACAGTTGAATGTCGGCCACGTGTTTGAAAATCAATCTCCAAGAAAGCAAAGAGGGGTGTGACTAGAAAATCTTACAGGTCGCCTACCACCAAATTCCACGTTTCTTTTTGTTAAAAAAGGAATTCTTTCAGAAATTGGAATAAGCATCGCGGCGGACGACGCCGTTTATGCAGAATGAGCTGGAGAACCAAACCTGCTATATCACAAAAGTGGCTTCAACACAAGGCTTTTCTTGTCTGGGGAGACTGTAGCTCAACTGCCCCATAACATTTTAGGGTTTCAGGCATGCATGCTGCTGCAAATCCAATGAACAAAGTTTAAGGGGTTTTCTTTTTAAAACTCCAAATCTCCAACAGTATCCTTTTACAAGTGGGAACACCAATTTGGGAAATTTGGGGTATGGCATAAAATATTTACGAAAATTTGAGAATGCAACGACCTGATTTTTCATTTTTTCTAAATCCAATCAATAGTGCATTTTTTATGTTATATTAGTTTAAGTTTACATGTCTATTAGCTTGGTATTATAATATTTTGTTTTCAAAGTTCATGCATGGGAAGAATGCATGAATAGAATCAAACTGATTACTCAAGGCATGCACTCTAGCTCCATTTTTATACACCTTAATATATAGTTGATTTTGGATCATATTCTCAAGCAGCCAATATTTGATTAGACTCTTTGATCAGCCAAACCATTTTTCCAAAGGTCAACTTGGGTCAGCGACCCACCTCCCACGTGGGTTTAGCATGATCAAAAAGGAAGAAATAGCATATCTAGGGTTTTAGCAACTGCATCATAAACCTCATCCAGAACAAGAATATTTCTAAAGTAAATGATTCATGCACATGAAAACTTACGCATCAGATAATTTGCATGCCCTCTCTGACCAATCCAAGTGATTGATAGTTGGGACATGGGAGCAATTTTTTGGCCAACTCAAAATATGGTGAATTGGTTTCATATTGATTATTACCTCATTCAAAATTTAACACAGGAATTTATTTTTGGCTTTTTAGCCAAAATAGTTATTGAGATTATCATAACTCTTCAGTTTGATTCTTGAGATTTTAAATGGATAAAAGTGGTCCCTAAGATTGTCCAACACCAATCATTTTGGTCATCTGTGAAATTTTTTAGTTAAATTGAAGAAATCATTAGTTCAATGGGAGATGTTGATTTGACAAAAATACCCTTAATTTAACGAAGACTTCGATCTCATAGAATGACCAAAATGATTGTCGGTGGACAATCTCATAAACCACTTTTATCGATTTTAAATATATATCAGAAACTGAATTGAGGAATTATGCCAATCATAATAACTACTTTGGACAAAAAACCTTTATTCTTTATTAATATATTTTTGAAGTAGGACGTACCAATAATACCGATAAAAAAACTTTTATTATAACATGTGGGATCCAAATACCACAAAATTTTCTCATAGCAGCACAGGGCCGGTGTCCGCATTTGCTGACATGTCAACGTAATACACGTCCCATGCAATCCGAGGTGGCAAAAAGATGCTTGCGTGTTGACCTATGATTGGATAAGGGAGAATCCTAATCGATAACCACATTTTCGGTCACCAGACATGATGAAATTCCACGTGAATTAAAATAAAAAAACCTTGGACAGTGGCCCTTCAATCTTTATTCCCTCAAATATGTGCGACTATTTTTAAAAGGAAGGGGAAAGGAAGGATGAGGCCATCTTTCCCCTCAATTATACACACTTTTGGAGAATCTACAACTGCATATCGGATCCCCAATTCCCATCGACATGCATCACCAGCAAAAAAATAGCCGTGCCTTTGGAATATTTGAATATTCTCACCTGTATGGATTGATATTTTTCAGATCTAGACAGCACTCAATAACCCTAATCACCATAACTGATCGCGTAAAAACGTCTTAATTAGATTGAAAAAGTTTCAACACTACTAATCACTAATGAGTAATGACTAATGAGGAATGACTAGCTGTGTGAAATAGAGAACACATCAATTCTTAAAAGCTAGCTCTATCCTTGCTATCCTATCCTTTAGTCTTTGGTGGATTTTATTCAGATTTTAGAAAACTAATTAAATTGCTCGTAATTCATATGAATCCTATCTTTTGCAAGGTCAATTATGGAAACAAAATGTGTGAGTAACGAATTGGGTTTTTTTTTTTTTTTTTTTTGTAGTACATCGATATTTTTACATTAAGGAGAAAGGGAGTTTGGTAAAGCCACACAATAGACAGCCTAATTTGATATCGAATTCGCCATCTACGATATTCGAACCTAAGACCTTTCACTTTTAAGTGAAGAAGAATACCATCAAACCTTATTATTGAGTGACACGAATAGGGTTATTTGATGGCTTTTCTTTCGTAGATTTCTAGGTTAAGTTCATGAAACCTAAGAATATATAAGAACCACTAATCCCATATTTGAGCATGTGAATATACTAAACTGGATCTCCATATTCCTGGCAATGTTTGGAAAATGCTTGAAGATAATATACTGCATGAATTGGAGTTCGCATTGCCATGCCTACCAAGTTGGATGTGACCCTAGGGGTGGCGCACTATCTCGAAGATACTTATTTTCTGCCTTCGTCACAATAATAAAACAATGACTCTCATGCTGTCGTCAGTCGCATGAGACTTATTTCTCATTGTATATTTAAATGTGAAACTGATGTTGAGCTGGCGTTCAAAAAAAAAAAAAAATTGATGTTGAGCTCAACCTCCGTCAACAATCCAGAATAAATTACGTGCACACACACACACACACAACTTACCCTTGTATATTTTTGTACAGAAGTAGCTTGAACCATAACCTATATCAAAACCAAAAAAAAAAAAAAAAAAACCAAAAAAAAAAAATCTAAGAACCGGCTGATTTCATCATTCTTTTGTTCGGTCACAAAAAAAGACAAGATGCATAATTTATAAATTTAATAAGAAATCAACTACTCTCATAAGTTGTAACTGTAAAAACAGTCCATAATTTTGACATCACTAAACATCTAAATCATCTTAAATAGAATAATCAAATTTAATCAAAAAGATACGAAAATAATTTTTTTACACAAAATACTGGGAAGAAAAAAAAAAAAAAACAAGATCAGTCAATATTATTAAGAAGGGTCAATGTAGTTAATTTTGGCGGGTAATCCTAACTAACCCACTAAACTGTATTTCAAATTGTACCAACCATACTCCCTTATCCCTACGTTTTCCAGAGTGTACCAAAATTCAAGTTACTCAATCATGGTGTTTTCCTCTTCATCGTTGCCCATTCTACCCTGCAATTTTCATGTCCTCCCCGCCGCTGACCCACCGTACAAACTCCTCCAAACCCATCCATCTCTCACCCTTCTCTCCAAATGCAAAAGCATCCAAAATCTCAAACAAGTCCACACCCACATCATCAAAACCGGCCTCCACAACACCCACTTTGCCCTCAGCAAGCTCGTCGAGTTTTGCGCCGTTTCGCCCTTCGGGGATCTCTCTTACGCTCTCTCGGTATTCGAATCCATCGAGAACCCTAATCAGATTGTTTGGAACACGATCATTCGAGGTCATTCCTTGAGCTCTAGGCCGATAGAGGCCGTGGAATTCTATGTCCGGATGATCCTTTCGGGAGTGGAGCCGAATTCTTATACTTTCCCTTTTCTTTTGAAGTCTTGTGCGAAAACCGCGGCGACCCACGAAGGGAAACAGGTTCATGGACATGTTGTGAAGCTTGGACTGGAGTCTGATGCCTTTGTGCACACTTCTCTTATCAATATGTATGCACAAAATGGTGAATTGGATAGTGCACGTCTGGTGTTTGATAAAAGTCTTCTGAGAGATGCTGTTTCGTTTACAGCGTTGATCAGCGGTTATGTTTCGAGGGGTTGTATGGATGATGCTCGTGTTCTGTTCGATGAAATACCTGTGAGAGATGTGGTGTCTTGGAATGCCATGATTTCGGGTTATGCTCAAAGGGAACGATTTGAAGAGGCATTGGCTTTGTTTGGGGAGATGCGGAAAGCAAATGTCTCTCCCAATGAGAGTACTATGGTTACGGTGCTTTCTGCTTGTGCTCAGTCAGGGTCTCTCGAATTGGGCAAATGGGTTGCGTCTTGGATTGAGGATCATGGACTTGGTTCAAATCTTCGCCTCATCAGTGCACTTATTGATATGTACTCAAAGTGTGGTGCATTGGACATAGCTCGGGGTTTATTTGATGGTTTGCAGCAAAGGGATGTAATTTCGTGGAATGTAATGATTGGTGGTTATACACATAAGAGCCACTACAAAGAAGCCTTGATGCTGTTTCGGTTGATGCTACGATCAAATACAGAGCCTAATGATGTCACATTCTTAGGCATTCTTCCAGCTTGTGCTCATTTAGGAGCTCTTGATCTTGGCAAGTGGATTCATGCCTACATAGATAAGAACTTCCAGAAGTTTACCAATACTTGCCTCTGGACGAGCCTGATTGACATGTATGCAAAATGCGGAAACATTGAGGCAGCAACACAAGTCTTTAATGGCATGGAAACCAAAAGCTTGGCTTCTTGGAATGCAATGATATCCGGCTTAGCAATGCACGGGGATGCGCTTGCAGCCCTTGAGCTTTTCTCAAAAATGGAGGATGAAGGATTCAACCCAGATGCTATCACATTTGTGGGAGTTTTATCTGCTTGTAACCATGGCGGTCTTGTAGACCTTGGACGCCAATACTTCAGGTCCATGACGACGGATTACCATATTTCACCAGATCTGCATCACTATGGATGCATGATAGATATTCTAGGGCGAGCCGGGTTATTTGATGAAGCTGGGGCCCTAATGAAGAGCATGGAAATGAAGCCAGATGGTGCTGTGTGGGGTTCTCTGCTTGGAGCTTGTAGACTCCACAGGCGCGTGGAGTTGGGTGAATCCGTTGCCAAACATCTGTTCGAATTGGAGCCTGAAAATGCCGGGGCTTATGTTCTGCTATCAAATATCTATGCAGGAGCTGGCAGGTGGGATGATATGGCAAGAATAAGAACGAGGCTGAACGACTTGGGAATCAAGAAAGTTCCTGGCTCTACCTCTATTGAGGTCAATAGTGTTGTTCATGAGTTTCTCGTCAGTGACAAATCTCACCCATTAAGTAAAGAAATCTACGAGATGTTGGAAGAAATCGATAGGCTTTTGGATAAGGCGGGTTTTGTGCCGGACACATCAGAGGTGCTCTACGACATGGGTGAGGAGTGGAAGGAAGTGGCTTTGAGTCATCACAGTGAGAAATTAGCCATTGCCTTCGGTTTGATCAGCACGAAGCCAGGCACAACGATTCGAATAGTAAAGAATCTTCGTGTTTGCGGGAATTGCCATTCAGCAACAAAGCTGATATCCAAGATCTTTAATAGGGAGATTATTGCAAGAGATGGGAACCGTTTCCACCATTTTAGAGATGGTTCTTGTTCATGTAATGACAATTGGTGAAAACCACTTGTACATATTGTATATGCTTTTAGGCCAAAGTGCCGTTTTAAATCCTCTATGCAGTTGAGAGTCTTAATGATTAAATTAAGAAAAAATTGCACAAATGACACCTAAATTTTTTCTATAACTTATATACGTTTACCACCCTGACTAAAAAGTTACAGTCAACCATCCAAACTTCAAACATTTTAACAATATTCCATCTAAGTTCTGTTTCAATCCACAATTCATCTCACAAAACTTCTTATTTTGATCACAACTTACCTCATATTTTGTAACTTTTGTTCAAGATTTATAATTGGCCAAGGCCAAACCTCATAAAATGTTTCACACACCCTTCAACAACAAGAACTTAAATCTCAGGAACCTCGTAAAATGGTTCAACAACATGAGCTCATTAATGATAATTAAGGCAGAAATTAATAGCTTTTGAAGGAGATTATGATGGGGAATTAGGGCAAGGATTAAAGAAAACCTGTGGAGATTATGAGGGCCTGAGCAGTGGGATTGAGATTGGCTCTTGCCCAAGGCAAGCATCCTCACACTAACCAGCTACATATATATAATTATAGAAAATTAGATGTAAATCCCATATAAGTAGTTTCTACGAGCGGTTGTAATATGCCGGGGCACTCAGTGCCCTTAGATTCAGTTCAGCGATTGTCCAATTTTCTTGACAATTGTTACATTAGCTCTAATCGCTCTAAGTGGCAGAATTAGCAATACTTCGGAATACTATAAATTTTTTGTATAAATGATATCCAAAAACTTACAGTTGGAATGGCATAGGCGATGGTAGCAACAATGGCTGTCAATTAAGAAAATAAAATGAATTACACTCCTAGAAGAATTTCTTAAGACAAATTACTTGAAAATAAAAAACAAAATAATTACAAATACATAAAAATATTGGAATATATGACTATCACTATGGTCCCCCAGTAAAAAAGTGCTTGGTGTGCAATATATGGCAGCAAGAGCAAGATGGCAATAAAAAAGAAATCTTAATCACATAATTAGCATAGCAGATTCAGTCTCCAACAAATGCTTTTTTCAGAGGCTCATGGTAAGAGTTTAACTAACAATTCATAGGAATCCCAAATCTCATGATGCTTAACTATATATATAATATAACTTATAACCAATAATTAATTAAGAAAATGCATATAAATCAAGTTGGTCAAAAGGGAAAGTATCTTAGCTAATACTAGTTGTATTATATTGTGTCAACCTCTTTTGTAACGTAACTTAGTCACGTAAAGAGAAAGATAAACAAAATGAGATATATACACTACTACATTTAATGTTTAGCGCGACGAACATAAATTGGTCGTGCAAAGCTTATCCCCGTTGCACAAACGTCAAAGCGATGAAAACTTCGTCGCGATGAAATCCGTCAGTGGCAAGTCCCAATCCAACATTCTGGGGATCCCTTATATCTTATCCCCGTTGCATAAACCCTATGTATTCTCATTCGTTCCAAATCAAGACGAACTTTGATCGTCTCCTTTGTCTTGCCCTCGATATCTAGAATGGTGCCCACCAATGTGTCAAATACATTTTTCTCAACATGCATAACGTCGAGGTTGTGTCTCAATTTTACTTTCGACCAATACAGGAGCTCAAAAAACGTAGACTTGTGCGTCCAGTTCATATGTGTAGAAGGTCTGGTCCTACTCATTGTTTTCCCAAATAAAGCAAAATCCAAACGGTTAAGCTGTTTCAAAATCTGATCACTGGACCATTCTCTAGGTCTGAGGCGAGGCTCTATTTTCCTGTCAAACTCTTTATCATTTTCCCGCCACTCGTGGTCCCATGGCAACCATCTCCGATAACCAAGGTAACAAACTTTTCCAGCGTGTCAACCAAATGTTACATCATCCTTGCATACAGGGCATGCCATATAACCCTAGTGCTCCACCCAAAAACCATTGCATATGCGGAAAAATCATTCACAGTCCACATAATTGATGCCCGCAAAGTGACCATATTCCCAGTACACTTATCGTATATGCGCACACTGTTTGTCCATAAATCATTTAGCTCATCAACCAATGACTTTAAGTAAACATTGATTGACCTACCAGGGTCCTTAATTATCAAAAAAGTCATCATCATGTATTCTTTTTTCATGCATTTTCAAAGCGGTAAATTTTATGGAAATACGAAAAGTAGCCAAGTGATGTGGTGTTGGTTTAGAACCCTGAACGGATTGAATCCGTAACTGGCAAGTCCAAATCTAACATTTCGGGGATTAGCAGCAAACTCGGGGAACGTTCGATCAAATCTTTCCATGCCTCCCCATCTGCAAGATGCCTCATCACATCGTCGTCTACTCATTTTTCCTTATGTCATCTCATGTTGATGGCAATATGTGTCGACATATGCAATCGCTGCAACCCAGGTTTCAAAGGCAAATAACATATGACTTTTTGTGGGATCTTAGTAGTTCTATACTAAGTTGTCATTTTGAACCTCGACTCATTACATACAGGGCATTTATCCAATGCTTTATTATCTTTATAGAATAAAATACAAATATTTTTGCAAGCGTGAATTTTTTCATAACCTAATCTGAGACCATTCAACACCTTTTGTGCGTTTCTATGGTCTTTCGGCAAACAATTGTCATTTGGTAACATTCTCTTGAAAAGTCCCAAAAAGTAATCGAAACACTGGTTCGACATATGATACTTCATTTTTCCGTGCATTAGTTCCATAATGGCTGTGAGAACCAAAACGTCCTCTCATTCCGGGTATAACTCTTGGTTGGCATTTTTCAATAGTTTTTCATATTGTTCAAATTCTGCACTGTCTATTGGTGTAGGCACGTTATCTTCCCCTTCCTGATTGGTGTTTGTTGATGCAAATGGTAAAGCATCATTTAAAATATCCATGACTTGTTCATTGGGACCCATATTAGGTTCAACATTGCCCACTTTTGTGGCGTTTGAAGACGAAGCATTGTCTAATTATTCCCCATGATGGTTCCAAGTATTATAGGTCTCTACCATTTCATTCACTACTAAATGAAATCGAACATTTTCAATTGTGTCCCTTAACGTGTTGTTACACCTCCTACAAAGACTCCGAATTCTAGTTGCACCCGGGTTGTATGTACGTGCAAAGTCAATAAAATTCTCGATTCCATCCAAGTATTCGTCTGCACATCTATTCAGGTTCTGTATCCAAGTTCTATCCAAAATTTTTGCAACCACAATAACAATACAACAATCACAACAACTTCATCATAATATTGTCACCTTATGCCTCCGTTAAGGGCCTTGTCCCATTCAGGAATGCAAAGTTATGTCATGTAATTTATGGCTACATCAGATTATATTTCGACGTGGAGAAATTTCGACAACATCTCTGTACAGTTCTTCAGATGGACAACATAGATATGAAATACCTATGTGCCACCCGAATAATGTACAGAGATGACACCAAAATTATCATGCCCGAAACCTAATCCTTAAACCATAAACTATGCGCCATAACTGTGCATTCCTAAACTAGTCCCAATAATGGGACAATTCAAGAATCAATTGGACCGCAGTCATGCTTTCACATCCATGCGCGAAATCCAACTAATCCTCGAATGGGAAACTAAGTTTTACTAAAAAAAAAAGGTATGAACCTAATTACAATTAACTTCGTACACCACAAGCACGTATTTGTACATTACGTACAAATTTAACAACATAATATAAATATAATTTCACAACATAATTTCAACATAATTTAATTAATTTATATGTTTTAAAAAATAAAATGAAGAAAATACCTTCCAAATCGTTCTCCACAAATCGCTAATCACACACAATATCCCTATAGATAACGGATTTCATGGCGTTAGTATGAATTGACATTAATACTTTTACCTTAAAAAAAGCTTACCAAACACATTGAGATAGCTTGATCAACCTAGAGAAGAAAATGGAGGGAGTATTAGATGATGAAATTGAGAGAAAATGAAAGTAACAGATGCCATATTGAAGAAAAATGAAGGGCGAGGAGGTGCAGAGGGGGATTTTGTAATTTTACTACAGTTTTTGCCTCTGCAGCTGAAGTCACATTATAAAGATTTCTTTTGCACAAATCATTTTGCGCGACGAATATAGTGTTCGTCGCACAAAGTACATTTGCGCGACGAACATATATATTCGTTGCACAAGTCTAAATAATTTTTTTTTATTTTTTTTCGTTTTCTTTATAATTAGTTAATGTAAACAAGTTGTGCAATGAATACTCTATTGGTTGCGCAACATGCATATTTAAAAAAAAATTCATTTTTTTCTGTTTTCTTTTTAACTAAGGTAAAATTTTATTTTAATCTAAATAAAAAACTCCAACCTAATTAAACATTACCACAATAATTAACAAAACTAATTTATTAACCCAAATACATATTATAACTAATGTAAATATTAATAATCATCCATATAACATAAATTTATTAAATAAAGTCAAACATAACATCCAAATTATCTTATTTCATTAAAAAAAAAAAACAAATAAACTTCAATCCTCCTCCTCCGGGGCATCAACAGTGGCATCGGGAACTCCCCTATGCTCCGCAGCCCGATGCACATTGAACTTCCACTGCCAAAAATGCATCTTGAAAAGGTCATCCAGATACTTCCACTACTTCTCATCAATTTCATCACCATCCCAATGAACTTGTATTAATGCCAATAAAAATAAATTAGTAATTGAAAAAAATACTACTTTTAAACAAAAAATAATTATACATTCTTTAATACAAACTTACCGATAACTCCCCCCCCCATGGACTTCTTCAACTCCTTAGGCACCATTTTCCAAGACTTAAACTTGGTAGAACATTGGTTCTGCACCAAACCCCCAATATCAAACCTAAGTTCGGTGTACGCATCAGCCCTACTTTTGTCTTCAAAGGAGGGCAATCGCTTACGACGGTACCTTTCTATTCACAACATTGCTTTCCTCATTTTTTTTTCTACCACAAAATTTTAAAAGTAATAGACTATTAAAAAAAAAAATTCTACCATATCAAATGTAAGACAACTAATTCAACAATAATTTTCTTTTTTACCTTTCCT